GCTTCCTACCATACAAACTATTTGTGTGTTGTACTATTCAGGAAACTGAATAGTCTTGCTAGGACCTGGCAATTTGTATGTACTCTACATAGTTTTCTAACACCTAACTAGCATGTAGATTTGTTTTCTGTGAACAACGGTATAATCATTATTTAAAGAACAACCTATCTATTTTTACTGTACAGGCACTTGCTCAGAAATCCATAAGATTAGTGGTCCAATATTCAGGTCAATTATATGCATGCGAAAGTGAAGGTATCTACTTCTATTGCTAATGAGGAATTTGTTCCTATAGAATTTGAACTTAATGTTAGAAGAAGTTGTGGTAATTTTCTTAAGCCATTCTTGTTACTTGGTGTGCCATTTTCATAAGACACTGACTTTAGTGTTACGTGGGATGTAATCTGTTTACTTTCCTTCTACAGTAAGAACATCCTGGGCTACTAATGTAGGAAACTATGATAAAACATTCACAGGCTTGGAACCTCAATATGGTGTTCAGGTTAAGTTCTATATCTTTCTCTATTCATAAAAGATAATAGTTTATATACTAAAACTGAAACATTCATGTGGCCGATATTTTTCCTTTTTGTATAATCTCATACATATTGTCCCTGCAGGAACAAAATTAGAATGAAAGTCACAGTCATGCTTTTCAAGGTTATTCAGAGTTGGGTACTGCTACACTGGAAAGCATCACTGAAGCTCGTCAGAGAAGTTCAAGAGAGAAAGCCTCAGCAGATTGTGTAGCATATTTCCTTGCTATAAGTCATATAAACATATTAAAAGCCTAATCTGCTTTATCTTAATTGATTGTTATTAAATATAACCAGTGAAGTCATAGAGGTTTTTTGAGGAAGAATCTCGACGTTGCCAGGAGAGGAGAGGATCGCCAAGTTATATACATTATACAGTTAAGGTAATTACCCCCAAAGTTTTCACTCACTAATTTTTCGATTGCCATCTTCATTCTTTTAGTTACGTAGACTGAAAATATCACATTGGCAAGAAGCATTAAAGGATTTGATGCCCCAACCTGAGGTGGTAAGATACCCATTCTTTGAGAAACAATAAACTGTTTTAGCTCTTTCTTTAGAGTTTCTTAGTGAAACTAACATGTTCTCAAGAGGCTGGACATCAAAACACAGCTGTCAATGTAAATAACCAGTTAATGTTGAGTAATTATTGGGCTTTTTGTAACAGTGATGACCTTCAGTTTAGTTTTTTCTTTGTCATATATTTTCAATTACACCTAATTAGTTTCACAATTTGCCGTGGGTAGAGGTGTACACCTACTGATGTAAGTGTACGGTGTATGGTGAATGGAAACATTTTTTGTTTCATGGTAACCAATTAGCCAATGTGTATCTTGCATGTAAGTTGTTACTTATGGTGGGTAATTTCTGAACATGCAAATATTTGTAAAATCAAGTGAAGGAAAATTATAATCCTATTGACTTCAATCATTTAGATGTCATTTTCTTACTTCAAATCTGGAAAAAAAATTTAAAACAAATTTAAAACTGGTGGAATCATTTTAATCCTTACCTTTCTGGAATGTTGATTATCTTATAAAAGTTTCAAATGATAATAGTGTATCAAAGACGAATTTTATATCAGGCAACCAAGAGGAAATATCATTTGCTACAAATAGATTTGTTAAGAAAAGTCAACATTATAGTTACTTCCATAGCCAACTTTCTTTTATACAGAAACCTACAGCAATATTTAAGCCTTTTCTCCAAACTACAGAAAAAATAGAAACAATCACTATGAATATAAAGGATTCTTCCCCAGATTAAAACATACAACAATTGCAACAATTCATAAACTAAAAACATGGTTGAAAAAACAATATGCATCATATTTTTCACATCTCTGTTTGTAGCTCTGCTTCCTTTTATAATCAGTATCTATCTACTTTCTGTTCTGTACTTTATATCATATAACTCTTGTTCAATTTTACAGATTTGAAGATACAAACAACATAAGTAATGTTCTTATCTAATATAAACTAACATAACAAGTTAGTATATATATAAGTTTATAACATATCATATGAAAAAAGATAAAATGTTGTTACAAAAAAAATGGCCACCAACCAAAAATGGCTCTTCTTCCTTCACATTCTACTCCACTTATCAATCTTCCATTATCCCATCTCTCGGCTTCACCTTAAAACTCACCCGACGAGATTCGAATGACTCATCCAAAATCTCGACTTTTGGTAACTACTTTCTGAACACAATCCGCCCAAGAATCACCCGAACGGCTTCGAATTTCATGGTCGAGGCTAATATATAGCAAATATTACACTGTTTAGTAACAGCCGAACTTTTGTTGTGACATACAAAATTATATATAGCAATATTATACTTTTAATCACCAGCATAATATAAATTAGTACTGTTTAGAGTGGTAGGAGATGATTTAGGTAATTGCTAAACTCTACAAGCAGAAAACATTGTAAGAAAGTTCACTATTGTTGCTCTAAACAGAACCTGAGTATCGCAATTCGCAACTAGTTCTCACACTCCAGCCACATTTCATTTCCAAGAAACAATAACGAAATCTTAATCTACCATAAGCAAAAGCAACTTAACTACTCAAACAAAAGCAGACATAGTAAGAACATCTAATAATGCAAGCTGGGCATTATTAGCAGGTAACAGAATAAAAAAATGATATTTTTAGCAAGCAGTGAAAAATTTACACAGTTGTTACTTCTCTACGAACCAACACAACCCCAAGATAAACCTGCAAATTTCTGTACAATCCAATAACAGTGACTTTTTCACTTTCAATTGATATTCACAGATGAACATATCTTCCAAACGAACCAAAAGCATGCATAGAACCCAATTGTCCCCGTCAACACAAAGAAAGCATACCATAATAAGCATGTACCCAAAGTATACAATACCAGAGACCAGCTTAGTAATCTCCAAGCTTGGTAAAGTAAAATGCAAAGTAAAGGAAAAGTTAAAAAGCAGACGAGCCGACGTTGAGATAAGAAGACATTAGTTAAAAACTATTGTCGAATCATCTTCTGAACAATTTAAAAGAAAAAACTCTACAAAATGCAGTGAAATTGCCACAGGGTCAGAGGCTTTCAAGTCAATGAATGTTCCAATTTAGTTTAAACCAGAAAAGAACGGGAACTGGGTCGATCTTTTGCCAAATTAAATTCTCCGTCTGCTCTCTTTGCTTCCTGCTTCGAACAATTACGGCACTAGCTGAAAAAACAATTTGAAAAGCACATGTTATAATTTAAGAAAACAGGAGCCCCACAGAACATATCATCAAATCCGACCCTATCTACACCTAAAACAATCAATTACAAGTAACTCAAAAAAACAACATAATCGAAAAAACTTCGCCGAACCTATACAAACGAGCCGCAGCCCACCCCCAACAATCAACCAAAATACGGAGACAGATATCCAAACAGAGACGAACCTTTCAAATTTAAACACACTGACAAACGCATCTACTCTAGTAATATTTATATCAATCATTAGTTGAAGAATTATGCCTTTGAATTTCAATCTAAGAATCATTAGCAACCACACGAATTGTTGAAAAGTGATCGAATGAGATGAAGAGTATAATACTAAAAGCATCTACCCATGAGATTTTTAAGAAAAATGTCCGAACCAAATGAGACGTACAGAGGAGTAAAGCCACAAATAAAAAGATAACATTATCCATCAACGTCATACAACCATTAACCATTAGGCATTGCAGAGTAACGACATACACCCTCTGATTTGCATATTCCTCATAATTATATGAATACCACCAAAAAAAAAAAAGAAGAAGAAGATAAGTTGGAGAATTCTTACAATGATAATATCCCAGCGTCAGCCGTAAAGTGGCGTCGTTCAAGACTAGCTTCGGGTCCTCTTCATCATACTCGAACTCGGCCTGCAAAAAAGTGGCCGATTAAAAAAACTCCTTCAAAAATTTGTTTCTTGAGAACTTCACGACACAAACAGCCGTGGCTGTGGGGGTTGTTGGAGAGATGCATCAAGGAGGTAAATGAAGAGAAATTTTCGACAATTAATCCTCAGAGATTTGGGCCTTTGAAATGAGGTTTCGATATTTTAATTTTCCCCCTAAAGTTCAACTCCTTTAAATTTCTAATAGTTGGCCAAAGCCAAATCAAATTCAATACAGAAAAATTATTCAAACTAAAAAAATTGATTCTAAACTACAAAGAGATTCGAGATTACCTTTGTTGTTCCTGATCTCCGAAATTCAAAATTGAGACTAGTAGCTTGATGAATAATGAACCAGTTGTTAAAAGGAAAAAGAATGATGGCCATAGTGGGTGGAGTGGACACGATCGTGGTTTGAAGATAGGCCGGAAAGCTTGAGTTTTTTTCTCTCTTTCGGACAGAATCAATCGATCGTGGGTTTTTTTTATTTTTTTCTTTTCTGCTAAGTTTTTGAGTTTGAAGAGGTAGACGGCGACGGGTGACCTCCTGTTGGAGTTTGACTTCTCTTTTAAAAAAAAAACTTGTGTGCATTAATACCCAGAATATAAATATGTTCTCTATCCAAATCTAAGGGTGTATATCAATTCATAAGATCTAAGGGCCTATGTTAAAATAACGAAGTCATCCCCTTACGGGACCCTAGCCTCGCCCTAAATTACGTACCTAACCAACTAAAGTGTAATATATTTAACTCTTAAAATTACATAGGAGTCCTTACACTTTATCTAATTTACATATATTTGGCCCATCCCCAATTCAACCCCAACTAGCATCTCTCTCGACATCCTTCAAAAGAACAGACAGCCCTACCGCCGGCCACGTGTTATGCTCATCAATACCTTGTCCGACCAGATCCGGACGGCATATCCAGCGGCGACATCACAATTTGCCTCAATTAAAATTTTTGTTCAATCCCGCTGAAAAGTGAGTCGTCGCTCGTCGGCTCCGGGACATTTTCCCTCGAAATTAAGATTATCAACGTATTCCGATGTTCATCAGGATCTCGCTGAGGGACCACTCGCCGAGGAGAGTGAGCTGGGAGGTGCGGCGGCAATGCTGGGGAGTCGCGGCGGCAGAATCCAGTGTCGTGCGGCCATGTTGGGGATGCACGGCGGTCGGACTGTGCAGGTGGAGCGGCCGGCGGACGGGACTGATCTTCCAATGGTGGTTGGGGACGGGACTGAAAATAATAAAAATAAAAAATGCAGACAACTTAAATTTTGAAAAAAAAAAATTGTAATTATTTTACAATATAATTATATATGTACTAATTATTTAAAAAATTTGCACAGGAGCTCGTGCCCTACGGTCCCTGCCTTCGTCCGCCCCTGGGCCCCACTCAACACCAACTCATCCAACTCATCCTACCCATTACCAAATCCACAAACTCACCCACACCAGGCATTCTCTTCCCCACACCCTCCATACACACTCTCGGCCCAAACATGAAAAAACACACACAAAAACGCACAGTACCCATCCCCGCCGACCTTCTACACCGGCACCGCCGTCCAACGCCGCCGATCACTATCTAGAACCGTCGACTCCGCTATTCCCGACTTCTCCAGCGGCCGCCACTCCGGCAAAGGCCACTCCACTCGCCGGAAACTGCATTATATTCCTTACCTTCTCCAATCAAAGCCGCTGTCGGGAACTGCATCTGCTCCTCCGCCCGCCGCCTCCAAAACTCTGGTTACTTCTCCGATCAACGCCGCCCTCAGCCCTCTCCATCCAGTCAGATCCGCGTCAAAATCGAAACTCCAGCCGCAGTCCAAATTACAGCCGAGCACATCCGATATCGAGGATTTGGAGACAAAAAATCGACCGCCCACGAAGAAACCCACTGCGTCGTCGAGCTCGGGTAATACCAACTCGGCAAGAATAGAAGTACACCAGCAAAATCGAAAATCTAAAATAAAATCGAAAATCGAAAATAAAATAGATGAACAAGAAATCGAAACTAAAACCGTCAGGATGTGGTCGACCGGTGAGGTCTTCCCAAGGCTTAGAAAGGTAAGGAAGCTTATCGGCGACAATGGCGGAGATTTTCTGAGACAGATTGACGGGGACAATTTTTTGGATTGGGGGGTGTTTTATTAAAAATTTGATAAATATTAAGGAGTTAATTGCAATATCAATAGTCTTATATAATTTACAATTTAGTTCCTAGGTCAAATCTATAATTTAACAAAAATTTCAAAAGTTTTGAATATAGTTCAATCTAGTTCATGGGTTAAATCTATAATTTATATAAATTATATAAATTTGATATATATATTTTTACATATACATATATAATATTTTCTATAACCACAAATAATATAAAATATTAAACAAAAATATTAAAATACTAAAAAGTAAAAAATATTAAAATACTAAATATACTTTTTTTATAAAAAAAATAGTTGCACTTCGAGTACACATTAGTGTTAGACGGATTGCACATTATTTACTATCAAATTGTACTATAGCGGTCATACGATCAAACAAAGTTTTGGGTTCGAATTTTATATTTTAGTTCGATTATTTGTGATTGCTTTAAAAAATTTGGTCCATCAAGTGTTTGATGCTGCAGATAGCTCAGCTATTCTTGAGATAAACACTCTACATCCAGACAGAAATGATAGGCAATACTGGAGCTTGGATAAAAAAGGAGTCTTCTCAGTATCCAGTACATATAGACACCTTTCTCATCAAAAACTCCTGCAGGCAGATTTTCCTGAAAGCAGCAGTGCATCTAACATCAAGAAGCATGCTAAAATGAGGTTCTGGCATACAAAGGTAGCACCTAAACTTAAACTCTTTATGTGGAAATGCCTCAGTGACACTCTTCCTACTGCCACTAATCTCTGGAAAAGGAGAATGCATATTGACATAACCTGTGCCATCTGTGGTGAAGATCAAGAAACTCTACAGCATCTCTTTGTTTCTTGTCCAAGAGCTCAGAATGTCTGGAAACTCTGTCCAGTTCAGTGGACTGACCTAAGCAGCAGGGATATCTCCTTCAAAGATTGGTGGTATAGAGTCTGTTCAATGAATCACTCGGAAATAGCTGAAGCTCGGATTCAACTCTCCACATATATACTTTGGTGGCTTTGGAAGTCCAGAAACTTATGGATCTTCCAAAAGACCTTCATTCCAGATCATGCTCTTGTCAGAATGGCTCATTCGGATTGGCTTCAATTTTTAGCTGCTTCCTAGTTCTTTTGTAGTTTGGCTGTGATTCCTTTTCTTTCTTTTTTCAGTGTGTTTGTTTGTTCAGGGGAATGTAACTTGTTGCTAGGCTTTTAGCAGTGGTGAAGGTTGCTTTCTTTTTTCTATTTATGGTAGTTTGAGACTTTTTGTGTATTTCAGTCGAGGCTCTAGACCGTCCATGACGTGTCTCTCATGTTTCTCTGTATTTGTTATCCGGTGTATTCGAACATTGTTCGCTTTTGAGTGTTATAATAGTTGATCCTATCGTTTCGGGAAAAAAAAAATAAAAAATTTGGTTTTCTCGATTCGATGTCAACTTTATTGATTAATATAATCAAACCGACCGAACTATATAAAAATATTATATATGTATATATATATATATATATACACATATATTTTTGCATATGATGATTTCAAAAATTCTCATAGTATTTGAATGATTCAAAAATAACATTTAATAATTATTTCTCTCAAATGTTTAATGTAAATATCTTAACATAAATATTTAAATATTTCATATTTGAATAATAAAGTGAATATGTTGAAAAATAAAAGCNTATATATATATATATATATATATATATATATATTTTAGGTCTTTACAACAAAAAATAAATATAATATGCTAACTAAAAATATTAAATTCTAAACATATTTTTATAATAAAAATTATAGATTATTTAGGATAATTCAGTTAACCAATTAAATAAACCGATTATCTTGTTTAAGTTTAATTTGGAACAAAATCATTAAAAAATATTTGCACTTCGAGTGCACATTAGTGTAATATTGATTACACATTAGTGATTGTCGGATTGCACTATAGCGACCAAAAATCGATCGAACTAATTTTGTTTGTTCGAATATTATATTTGATGTTACTTTTAAATTTTTGGTTATTTCAGTTCGAGGCCGACTTTATTTAGTAAAATAACTGAACCAACTAAACTATGTAAAACATAATAGATAATAACATAACATATTAGCTACTACCATTATAATATTAACTATATTTTCTTAATAGAAATTATAAAATATTTTGATTTTTTAAATTAGTTCAGTTAACCGATCAAATAATCCAATTATTTTGGTCTTAGTTTGGATTGTGACAAGTAACTAAAGAAATAAAAACAACTGAACTTCGAGTGCACATTATTGTTATACGGATTGCACCTTAATGAATGATATATTGCACTATACCGATCGAAACTAACCAAACTGAAATTTTTTATAAAAAATTTATATTTTAGTTCGACTATCCATTTGGTACATTTAAAATTTTGGTTATTTCAGTTGGATGTTGATCTTATTTTTTAAAATAACCAAATCAATCGAATTATGTAAAAGATGTCTTGTCTTGTTATATATTTTTCATTACATTACAAATAAGTCCCTCTTCTTCATTTAATTTTCAAAAGACTCATTCTGTTTTGAGATTCAGAAAACAANCAGCTCCATCTTCCATATGATTTCCATAAGCCGGTGATGAAATGTCGGAATTGACGATGGATTATTGATTTCGTGTTGTCGGTGAATTTTGGGGTTTAATTCGTCGGCTCCACGATTGGGGCGATTATCGATTTACGCGGCGCAACCACACGTGAATTTTGGTGTTTAATTTTAGTATTTCATATTGTGTATTTTTAATAAAAACTAATATAAAATATTAAATAAAATTATTCAAAAATTAAATAAATCTTTTTATAATATAAAAAAAAGATTATTTATAATAATTATGGTAATTTTGGTTAACCGGACGAATAAACCATGTATTTTAGTTCGGTTTTAATTTGGTTGGGAAAAAGTTCGTTGGGTACATACGCACATTAGCGACGGAAACACTGCACATTAGTGCTAGACGTCTTGCACATTAGTGTTAGACGTATTGCACATTAATGATCAAAATTGAAATAACTATAATTTTTATGTCCGAACTTATATATTTCAATTATTATTAAAATTTAAGTTATTTTGACTTCGATGATTTTTCAACTGAAATAAAGTTATTTCGATAATTTTAGAATGTATATATTTCGATTATTTCGATCAAATTTGAAATAACCGAGCTATATGAAAAATATTATTATTATGATTTATATATTTTTATGTACGACGAATGCACATTATGATTATATGAGTTGCATTTTAATGACTATATGATTGCATAATATCAAAAATCAACCAAACTAAATTTTCGGTTCAATTATTATTCTTCTACTTTTTTACAACTCAGTTATAAAGTCACCTTTATTTTTTAAAAATAACTGAAATAATCGAACTCCATGAAAATTATTATTATATTTATTTACATATTTTTATGTATTGTTAGTGCACATTAATGACTATATGATTGCATAATATCAAAAATCAACCAAATTAAAATTTTCGGTTCAATTATTATTTTTCTACTTTTTTAAAACTCGGTTATAAAGTCACCTTTAATTTTTAGAAATAACTGAAATAATCGAACTCTATGAAAATTATTATTATTATTATTTGTGTATTTTTATGTATTGTTAGTGCACTTTATTTGTTGTTATTGGGCTTAGTATTCTTTATAAATTATGTATCTAACCCATGGACTGTTNNNNTAATGTGTATATATTTATTTGTTTTAGAAATTGCATACAAAGTCGTTGCACCTCATCTAATTCACAAAATTAAGCCCAGCCCCAATTCATTCCCAAACCCATCTCTGTCGTCTTTTAAAATTCAGCCGTTAGCCCCCGCCGGACCACCGTGCAGATGCTCGTCGTCACCTCACTCGGCCAGAGTCCGACGCCATATCTAGCGACGACCTCACAAACTCCTTTAATTAATGTGTATGGTCAGCCCCTCCGAAAGAGCGAGCCCCCGCCCGCCGGCTCCTAAGCCGGAAAATTTGTCCTCGAAATTTAGATTACCTCTGTATTTGAAAGTCGTGAGGTTCTTTAACCTTCAGATGTATCTCGGGATCTCTCCGAGGAACCAACCGCCAGACTCGTAGCCGGTGCTCGATTTTCTACGGGATACCGCCTTCGGGCGAGATGCTGTGTTCCTACCTTGAGACATACAGTGACGGCGGCGGAGATATGGTGGGAGATGGTGGAGATCGGCAATGACAAGTGTTTGTCTCATATTTTTTGCATTTTTTTTCGTGTTTATTTTATCTTTGTTTTTCCCCTGTATTAGGTCGTTTCATTAGTTTTTAGTCCGTTTTGTGTTTTATTATGTGTTTTCCTTCATTTTGAGTCCTTAGGTGTTTTTCGTTTGTTTTTTCGATTTTCTTCGTGTTTTGTCGTTTTTGGTGTGTAGGTCGGGAGCTTCGGGCAAACTTTCTCTTCAGCAAAAGTCTGTTTCGAGTGCATAGATTAATAGAGGGGTTTGTTCGCGATGTATAGGAAAAAACGGAACTCAATTCCGAGTTAGGTCCGTAAAAAAAACCACAGAACTCCTTTCTTCTCCTCTTCTTCTTCTTTTTCGTATTTCTTCCTCTCTTCATCTTTCTTTTCCATTTTTTTTCTTCTTCTTCTTCGTAGTAATCAAGGATTGAAATTTGTATTTTGGGATTCAACACTTGAATTTGGGATTTATTGTAAGTTTTTTTCTCTTTATTAATTCATGAATAATGGTTAATTGATTTGAGAAGAATGATTATGTGTGTTGAACTCGATATACATAGCTAATTCTGATTGTTAGGGATAGGGGATGAATGTTCTCGTTTAACTTATATTTGTCGTGCTTGATTTGTTCGTTCTTGTGCGGGTTGATTTGATTACGAATTGATGAAATATTGTTTGATTGATTGATATAATCGAAGAGTGACACTTCGATCTTGCAATTGGAAACAATTGAATGTTGATTAGTCGAGTTAGGGTTTTGTTGATTCTATATGATTAGTCGATTAACTCTCTTCTAATTTAATTAGCGACTCTTAGAACCGAAAGGGGAGAAGTCATAGACTTAGGCTCGCATGAGGTAGATGATTTCGTAATTGAATAGTCTATAAGTTTTGGATTGAAATACATGCTTGTCGATGACCCGTCCCTTGTTACGAATAGTTATTGGGATTGGGATAATTGGCCTGTGTTGTATGCTCGAGCGTACTCGTCTATGTTCAATCCCTTGTTACGAAGAGTTATTGGGAGCGAACCGCTAGATGTTTACGTGAAAGCGTCAATCTGGAATAGAACGATTAATGTCCCGATTTTGCGTATAGATCTTGAATTAGTTATCCCCGACTCCCTAGCTTCTTTATTCTTGTCTCGTTTATATTTTTAGGTAGATTATTGAGTTTTATTATTCCTTAGTTAGTAATTTCTCAACCCCCTATTTGACTAGTGTGTTTAGGATTTATTTTCTTTTTGTGTGTTGTTGATACCAAAGCTAAGTTCCAAACCGCGTTCCTCGAGAGATCGACCAGGGAAACAAATCCTTTATTCGGTACTCGGTAAAAATAACAATTTGCTACAACAAATTTGGCGCCGTTGCCGGGGAAGGCAAGTAGGACATTTGGTTTTGGTGTTGATTTTATTTTCTGTGTTTCTCTTTATTTTGTGTTTTTCGTGTTCGTGTCCTTTGTTTGGATTTTTGTTATTCTTTTTGTTTTCGTTTTAGTTTTTATTTCTTTCCTTCCTTTTCATGGCTACAAGTGGTTGTTATATTTTTTGGTGCAGGAAATATAAACTTCAATCGTGCTTCTCCCTATCCACACACCCAATCTTGGGTTAACGAGCTGAGCTATCACACCGGGTACCACGTCCAGTCTTATCCATACTCTTTCGAGCAGAACCGGGACCCCTTTCCGGTCGAGCAACATTATGAGTCCCACGAGTTCAACGAGAAGCTCGACCATATCTATGAATTTGCGACATCCCCGTTAGCTCAGGAAGAAGAGACCGCTTCCCGTTGTGCCCGTCTGAACCAACCACCTCCATACTACGATTCGTGGGACTATGGCCAGACTTGGTCATATCCTTACGAGCAGCAGTGGGAGTCTATACCTGTTAAGCAGTCATGTGAGTCCCTCGAGGACTCCTCAGAGTACAATGCCAAGCTCGACCAGGCCCTCGCTCTTTTAGCCTCCCAAGCGGCCCGTAGGAGCAATATTGAGTCCAGAATCGAGAATCTTGTGGAGCGCGTGCACGCCTTAGAGGATCGAGTTAACAATGTCACTCCTGATGCCACCGCTCAAGGCGTATCTACACATAGGGATGAACCTCGGGAGGCTGCTGTAACGCCCCGTTTTATTTTAAAGAATTTATCGAAATTTATTTAATAAAAATCAGAGTTTTTTTTTTTTTTTAAATCCAAGTTAAAACATTTATCGAGAAACGGGCGCTACTTACTAACATCATCAAAACACACATGCACGAACTATCAATAAAACAAGTTCCAAATAAACGTAAGTCTTAAAACCATTTCAAAAGATCCAACATTATTCAAAGCTCAACCAAATCAATCATAGTTCGAAAAGTGAAAGCAGTAAATAATCCAAGGCAATAATAGCAAACAAATAAGAATTCGAGTTTGAGCGGAAGCATAGATTTATCAACACATTTGACAACTATCTCGCTCGTCCTACGCCACCGCCTCCAGCTCGTCTCAACCTAGAACAAAGGAGAGAGAAAACAACAAGAAAATAATGGGGGTGAGCAACCAACTAGCTCACCTTTATCGCACGGTTATCTCGTATAATTATGTTAAAAAAGCAGTATCAGTTTAAAACAGTTTCAGTATCGGTATGCACAAAATTCAAAGCCTAAACCCCCTACCCAGCCCTAACACAAACCTCCTATGTACATACAACAACCTTCCGGATACGACGGCATGGCTGTAACTGGAAACCTTCCCACCCCCGGATACGACGGTACATGGGATCCTTTCCAGGGGACAGTGAAGTTGAATTACCCCTCCGCTCTACACGGATTCGAGTAAATCAGACAATCCCCTCCGCTCTCCACGGATTCGGGCGTCCACCTCCCGGATACAACGGGCAGGCGACTTCCACTGCTTTCGCATTCATCAAGGCACTAGCGTTCGGGACACTTAGACTAGAGTTCTCATGCATACAAAACTTTTCAAAGAAATATTACACGAAATAAGGAAGTGCGATAATTATGGAATACATCATAAATGTATCCACCTGATAGCAGCACGGTTCACAGTCACAAATCTCGAAATAAGGCAAGGTCAACACCTCTAGACACCTACATGATGTCAAGATCCTACAATCAGAATCTATCTCGACTTAAACCGGAAATCACAAGACAGACCTAGTCGAACACGTTTCGACTAAGTAGTTCGTGAAGTCCTGTGAATGTTGGAACACTAAGACTCGACACTAAACTCAACCAAAACACGCAAGGGAGTTCACACAAAACCATCCAAGGATTGACCAAGTCAAACTCACATCAATACAAAACTCAAGTCGATTCCAAATTTTCATATAACAATTATGCTCGAAAATAGAAATCATTTAATCGCTTGAAAATAGAAGGTCAAGCTACCCTACGAATTAAGCTCTGAAAACTTACACAAAATTTCATCTCCCAGAAACATGAAATATCACAAAGTTTCAGCTTTAAACTCAAGATACCCCATTTTATAAAATTCGAACAACATATCAGCAAAATGGGCACGTTAATTCATACTCAGAGTTAATGAATGAATCTGATCTTGAAAATTTTACACAAGAACATACAATATGCCAAAGTCCATTTGTAAAAATCTCAGCCTTAAATGATAACTGCTGCTATTATTAAAAATCCAAACGAGCAACAGCAGTTTATCGAATTTAAACCCAAACTGAACCAAACGGACTCCAAAAATTTCCATATTTTACAAACATGATTAAACACACAAAATAGGCCTCTCAGTAAAATTTCAGAATTTCTCATGCAGTAAAAAATTTATAAAAATTCAAACAACGTTTCTGCAGATATGATAAATAAAATATTTACCACATCAAATCAACTCCAAAAATTTTAAAACTTTAACACAACACATATATGTCACAGAGGCATGACATATTTGAATTTCAGCTCATTTCAGTCAGGCATGAATTTTTTATGCATTTAACATTATTCTGGATAGATTACAATTTAATTATTAAAAATAGCTACAGGCCTCCAAAAATTTCGAAACTTTTACACAAGGCAGACAATGAACAGATAACACATCCCTCAAAATTGCACATCGTTTCGAGCAGCGAGCTATTTTTAAAAATTCGAACACCGAAACAGCGATTAAAAAGCTCGACAACTTTAGCAATTAATCACAACATGAAATTTATCTTCCGAGGCCTTTACATAAGACCAAGGACTCGACATTGTTCCATTATCCACCGACTTACACGACTTTCGAGGTCTCGTTCGATTTTTGAGAAAATCGAAGAGATCTCGAACATACGAACACATACAATCACAACAATTCATATATTTGCACATATTCACTTAATAAATCTCATCATATATAACACGAGCACTTTACGAACATGAACAATTCAACGAAACATATATGAATTAAACGAGACGGAAAAACGACGAAATACCGTTCTCGGGAATAGAGCGAGAATGGGTTCGAACGGGCTCGACGGTAAACTCGTCTCGCCGGAAAAAAAAAGCTCGATGTGCACGGGGAAGAGGAAGAAGTCGCTGCTGCTGGTTCACGGGCTCGTCGGGAAGTCGCCAGACGTCGTGGGCAGCACAACAGACTCGCCGGACGTTTCAAGGGGCACAACCGCCGGAAAGCTTCACGGACTGCGAGAGGAAACAACCTTCACGGCGCGGCAGGGGAGAGGGTTGCGACGCGGCAGGAAGAGGGTCGTGGCGTGGTGGTTCAGTCGCAGCGCGGAGGGGAACTAGCAGGTTCAGGCGCCGGAAATTTCTTCA